CCAGCATGATTGCACTGATATGAGCGTTTGTTTCGGACATTGGAGACTCACCTTGGATTGGGAGATGACGTTGGAAACGGTGATTCGAGATAGGATGGTGGAACACCTGCTCGAACGGCGCGTTTTCCAAAGCGGTACCGTTGATATCTCGAGCGACCCAATTATCGTAGAAAACCGGAGCACCCTATGGTCAGAAAGCTCAGAACCGTGTATGACTCACAATATCGTCGTGATACATGTAATCAGCAGCGCAAGTGATACCTGCGTTTTGACGCCTTGATTGCCAGATTAATTCGAGCAGGTCATCGACACATGGTAGAATATCGTTCATGAATACGATGGTGTCAAACACTTCATTTTCATTATCTCTCAATTCATGGAGAGGAACCATTGCGGCATTTCGAACTTCGGCAAGGTATTCGATACGGTGATTGAATTGACCTCTGGTTCGCATGGATGTGCGAATGATGATACGAAGACCGACGGTTCTTCCTAGGGCGTCGAATATCCTCAATAACGCTTTAGTTTGGTCGTTCGATCCGTTCTCATAGATCGATACGAAAACATTATGATATCCTAGAACAGCGGCAGTTCGGAATAGAGTTGCGAATAGATCTGGAATAACGTCGAAGGAGTTGTATAAATTGATAGCGAAAAAGTATTTATGTTGGCTTGATTGTAAATCACGTCGTATATTATCGCGTCGTGACGCTAGGGGCATTTGCCTTTCAGGTCCACCACCAAGTAGACGGGCGAGCCATGATCCACTATTTTGCCATGATCGCTTATGACCTACCAAGACAGAATAACGATCATGAACTTGCTCGGCGTATAACTCTTGTGGTCGTCGTGTACATTCTTTAGTGTGATGAGCCGACAATGAAGAAATAAGCTCTAGGATATGATATCGCTGTTGTAATGACGGGAGTGTTATTTGCGATCGCTGTAGTCGAGAAGAACCTGTTATAGCATTTGGACGAAGATTCTTCGCACCAGATACCTGCCACGGTTCAGAAGACGACTTGACAATTAGCCATGCTCCCATGATCTAGACTCACATCTCCTCTTCTCAGGATCTGGGTTGAATTATCAGCATGAGGACAATCGACGTGAAAACAAGGTAGCTGCTCACTGAAGCAACGAGAAGTCCAACGAGAATGCCCACCAGGAGCGACGCGCCAGACGGGAGCTTGCGTCCAAGTGAAAGAGACGAGACAGGTTTCATCGTCGCGCCACACCTCCGTAAGACTACTCTGCTACCTGCAGTCTGTATCTCTGAATCGATACGCTAGACACTAGCTGGAGGTTGTTTTTTGAAAGAGGTAAAGTGAAAGAGAACCAAGTCGAACGAATCCTCCGAAGAGGTCTGGGAATGGGGAAAGCCCTGTGACTATCGGAGCAGAGTCAGGCACCGAGTTACCGTGGGAAACTGAAACTGACTGCCTATCACATCTATAGGGTGCGCAGTGATAATGCATCCTAAATTTGACCCCCAAAGCGACATCCAAGCTAATCATCATTCGTCTCAGCCTCAGCCTCAGCCTCAGCCTCTTCCGCCCCGTCCCCATCCATCTCATCGTCCTCGTCCTCAGAGTCAGACGGCAAGTCATATGACAATCCTCCTGCACCAGCAGCACCACGCTGTTGTGCCCAAGCTTGAGCAGCTTGGAAGAATTTGAAGGTGGTCGGATTGGCATCCTTTTCGTCGTCTGGGAAAGCAAGATCCCAATCTGTATTTCTGTCAGCTCTCATATCTCGCTCGCCTAGTAGAAATGAATGATGACACACATTCTTCCAAAGTACCACTTCCATCCTCGGCCTTGCGCCACCTCTTGCGAGTCTGAGGCATCATTTCTTGAACCTTGGCTTGCTCCTCGGTTGTGCCATGCTCTTCTTCGAACTTCTTCCATGCCTCCAGTAAGACCGCGCGCTACATGGGTCAGTTTTTTTTGGCATTCCGGCACCATTAGTTGTAGATACTCACGTCCTCCTTTTCTCCCCTCGCCCGCAGATCCTTGTAGCCACGTTCGAAGATTGCACGAGCCAGTTCAGGATCACCTTCATCGCCTTCGATCTCGTTGCCATCCTCGTCTTCTCCACCACCAAGTACGGAAACCTCCATAAGAGCGTACGAGATATACACCTGCGATATCAGCGTTTGAGCAGTAAACAAGGCTGAATAGTTCACTTTGACGTGACCAGTCCGCTCCAAGAGTCGCTCGTAAAGGTGACGAGTCCGTTCTCGTTCGCCCTCTCCTGCTTCAAAGTCGATGTACGCCTATAACATGATCAGTAGTGAATCCAAATGCAGCACACGTATCGTACCTTCCAGACGATTTCGGGCATATCAAGCGATTGTTGCACTGCCAATTCAAAGATGGCGCGGACACGCTCAAAGTCTTCCACTGCACCTTCGACCTGAGTCCACTGGATCCAGGCAGAACTCAATGATGGGTCGTACTACCGATATGAGTACAATGAACCATCAGCAAGAGAAAAGCTTACGGTCAAGAACTTCTCATACAGGATTCGAACGCGGTCAAATTCGCGTAGTCGCATCTCGAGTTCAATGTAGCCAGTAAACAGCTTGGGCTTGGGGCACATGCCGATTCCAGCTCCAAGGACTTTGCGAGCCGCCATCACGTCGACTCGTCGGATCTCAAAGTATGCGTAGGCCAGCCAAAGCTATGAAAGTCAGAATCAATGCAAATCAGAATGTATCCTGGCAAAGATACTGCTCGACCAGAACGTACCTTGGCAAAAGTGAACTCGCGATGCGGCACCAGCTTGATTGCCGCCTTGTACACATCCCTTGCCCTATCAAAGTCCTTGGTGTCGATCTCTTCGAAAGCAGCGTATTGTAGCCAGACTAGGTATGGTGTCAGTGATACAGCCCATATCGCAGGCAGAAACATAACTCACGATACTAAAGGAGAAGATAACGAGAAAGGATGAATGGTCAGTACTTCTGAAATCAGAGGAGGGGAGGAAACATACGATATATCTACGCCAGAATCTGCTCTGGATCAGCTCTATTCTCGTAACGCAAGGGGCAACTTACCGTTTCTCAGTAGCTGGAGGAACATTCGAGACAGCCCTTTCATAGACCTCTCGAACTCTAGTTGGCTCCACGTCTTCTCCGTCCTCCTTATCTGCTCTGTACGCATCCTCTTCGAGACGTGCTAGAGAGAACCAAGCATCGTAATTTGTACCATCATATGCAAGCTCTTCCTCGTATTGTATACGCCGTTTTCCCAGCACCGTCAATTCGACACCAGCACGATCACCATCTGTGATAATTAGATCAGACATTGTACTAATTCAATTTGCTCAGCAGAGAAACATACGCTGTTTCTCAAACTTTGTATACGCAGAGTATAGTGAGGCAGATTTTGATCGAGGAAGACGAGCAAGTGCAAACTGAGATCAGCGAAATCACTACGAGGCGACGAACCTTGTATATGACACGAGCTCGTTCAAATTCTTTCAACCTCGTCTCCATTCTTGCGAAAGCAGCGAAAACCTGTTGTGCTTTCTCGACTTGTTCTTCTTCATCTCCGAAGAACTCCAAAGCAGTCTGGAACACTTCTCGAGCTTTATCTGATAGTTTAGCGATATTCAGAATTGGACAACTCACCAGGCTTTCCTCTCTCTTCTTCGAATTTTGCCCAAATGACCCAATTCTTAGGAAGAGGTCGTACAGCAAGCCAACGTTCGTAGATGTCTGATGCACGGTCCAGCTCATCATATCGCTCTTCGAGCTTGATATACGATTGCCACGCCTTGTCATTTGGTTCCCACTGCATCCATCTTTCAAATATCTGCCTAGCGCCAGGAACATTGAGGAGAAGTTCCTCGAGGTAAACGTATTTGTACCACAACTATTCAGAGTCAGATGCCAAATTCTATCGTAGTGGACTTACAGCGTCTACACGGGGAAGTAACGTCACTGCTCGATCAAATAAATTTCTAGCATGGTTGATGTTTCTCGCTTTGAGCTCCTACAAGACATGTTAGCATTACTGTGACTGTATCACGCTGTAACGGTAACGGTAGTCTCACCATATCGGTGTACTTGAGCTACGAACAGGTCAGCAGAGGTTCTTCAAGCAAGCTAACAACATACCCATATCTCGGATGATCTAGGATCCACATCCAGCGCACGCTCATAAACCGACCGCGATCTATCCAGCATAAGCAATTATCCCAAATCATACGATGTAGATCCCAATCAGGCGTTATAGGAGGTAAAAAAAAGTATATGAGTGTGTGTGAGCAGAAAGCTTACCGTTCAAACTCATTCTGACTAGCTTCCCAATGAGCGTACTTGATCCAAGCTACGAAATCATCAATGTCCATCCAAGCTTTCTATCATCCAAGAGTTTTCTTTTAGCTCACCTCTTATATTATCCCTAGAATATCGAATACGTCCCTCAAATTCCGTCCTCTGTCTACCTTGAAACTCTGTTAATTCTTCAAGATCCTGTACACGTTGTTTAGGAGCTTTGAATTGAGGTTCTTGTCTCTCTTGAGCTTCTCGTAACAATTGCTCAGAAGTGATCTACAACATCATCCCCATCGTCAGTATACTAAAAACAAAAAGCTCGCAAGAAAGCAGCAGGGCGATGCGAAGATCCATCACTCACTTGTACAGCCGCTGGTGCACGGTTCTTGACTCGTGGAGCCCTGTCTCGAGCATCGCGGCCTGACATGATGCTTGAACAGAGTCGCACGTGAAGCAAGTGAAAAGAATGCTGCTGGCTGCAATCAGAGGAAGAAACGCAAGATGGCAACGGTGGAATTTGATTCCGTCGATATGGTGGCGCTATAATTTCAGTGAATGTATATCGACGACTCAACCTATTTGTATCACTTCTTCTCTTCTGGGGGAACTAAGAGGACATAAGGATCTGCAGCCTGATGGCAAGTCTATAGGTGTGCCTCGAAACTGGATGGGCAGGTCGAGCTTCAAGCTCCAGGACGGCGAACGAGCAAAAAGCTGGACAAACAGGGGATCGAACCCTGGACCTTCTCAATATTACGTTCAAAATGCAAATGAGACGCCATACCACTAGGCCATTTGCCCGTCACGAGCCTCATAAAATCGGTCCTTCTGTCGCAAAACATATACCCGACGTGAAATCTATCATACACTGCAAACTTTGACACTTTTTCAGGCGGTCTACACTATCAGCTATCGATCATCTTGTCTCGCAGAAATTAGTGTCTAGCACGCATCAATCGCTGTGCAGCCTGCTTGTGTCTTGTGTCTTGCAAGTGACAGAGTGTCACCAAGTTTCCAATCGTTACATAAGATACCGTGCCGTGCATCCATGCGACAAATACAACAAAATGCAATCCAAGAATCCCCTGCTCGTGTTCAATCGACGTGCATCCCCATGCCCATCCCACCTCCCTCTGCAGCAATGAGTTTCGACTCCCTCTTCTTTCCTGCAATCTGCTGCATGGCCATTGCTTTCCTTCCCTGAGCTCTGACCTTGATCTTCTCCCTGATACGTTCTTTCTCAGCGATGGGCCCGGTGGTGCTGGTCCTGGGTTGGACGAGCTCGATGTGTCTTTCGATATCGGCTGCTGCTTCTCGGAGGTTACGTTGTTTGTTTCCGGACATCCTGATGGGGTCAGTATAGGTCCAATATAGGATGGGATGTAAATGAGGGGGAAAGAAGAAAACGAGGGGCAAAGAAGAAAATGAGGGGGGAAGAAGTAAACGAGGGAGGGAGCGGTGAAAGTGGGGGGAAGAAGTAAACGAGGTAGAGAGAAGTAAACGAGGTAGAGAGAAGTAAACGAGGGAGAAACATGTAAACGAAGGAGAAAGAAGTAAACGAACGAGAGAGAAGGACACTGGAACGGGATGATGCAAAACATGAGAGGGATAATAAGATCCATAAGGAAATAAATGAACCGAAGGAGGGAGAGAGGAAAGCATGAGGAGTCTTTGTAGACAGCAATAGACGAACAGATGAACGGAGGTAGAAGAAGACGAGAGAATGAAAAGTAGAGGCAAGAAAGCTTGCTGGAGGATGGATGACTGACCTATTCTTCCAGAACGCCTTTTCACGCTTAGCTCTAATTTCTTGAATCCTGTCCATTGCTTTCAAAGTAGTCTTGACCAATTCACGATCGTATCGTACGGGTACATTTCTTCGTTTCTCAAATTCGAAGGTAGAATCCTGTTGAATAGAAAATGTCATCAGCTGACAATGACAAACTATGACCTAGCATCGACCAGAGGGATGAATGCGAAAGTGTGAGAGGGGTGAATGTGAAACGGGAAATGATAACTAAACGACTCACAATGACCATTTCTTTACCATTTGACCGACGGAAAGCTTTTGTCCATCGTACTTTTCTTGGATTCCTCTTCATCTTGAAGTTTTTATGACATTTCGAAGAACAGAATCGAAAGCATTTCGCATCGTTTCTTACAAACATCGTACCATGTCCTGGGTACACGTTCACCGAGCAAAAGTAACATTTTTCAATACGCATCTTGTCGTTGTCGTTGTTGTTGGCGAATATTCAAACAGAACAAATGAACCAGGCAACTTTTTTGGCGGTCAGAGGTGAAGTGATTTTTCGGATAAAAGTAGGAAAAGGATAGCGAGGAAAATGCCTAGCCCCCCCTCGCCTTCCTGTTTTCCACGTGTTCAGGGTCTCCCGGTTGCGTCCAGATTCGGGGAACGTGCAACGCGTGAGAGGAAAAGCTTAGATGCCAAAAGCAATCTAAATCCTGGGAACGCTATTCCAACCCCGTTCACTCACTCACTCTACTTCATCTTCTACTCTTCTATCTCTTCCAACTCACCTTCCTCTCTTGACTTATCACCATCCTCTCAAGGCAAATATGAAGATAGGTCTTCCTTGTCTCTGCCCTGCCCCTCAAGCTGACAGGAGTACGCTTTAATCCTCGTCGGTGGTTTCGGTACTCGTCTCAGGCCTTTGACCGTGAGTAACCCACCAACCGACCGTCAACTAAATTAGTAGCTCTCGTGGCCTAAGCCTTTGGTAGAATTCTGTAATAAAGTAAGTCTCTAGATGATGATAGTGCTGACTCTTTAGGCCATCATGTAAGCTTCTAATCCATAGTATGTGCTGATATCCAGCTTGCACCAAATCGAAGCTCTGGTGAAGGTACGTCAGACTTATAAGAGCTCCACACTGACAATCAGGCTGGTGTCAAGGACATTGTTCTCGCTGTTAACTACCGTCCTGAAGTTATGGTCTCTGTGTTGAAGAAGACAGAAGAAGAACTCGGTATCACTATCACTTTCAGCGTAGAGAATGAGCCTCTTGACACTGGTGAGCTTTTCAATTTCCCATCGTATACCGAGGCTGACAATTGACAGCTGGACCACTTGCACTGGCACGGGATATCCTAGGCAAAGACGATTCTCCGTTCTTTGTTCTTAACGCAGATGTCACCTGCACCTACCCATTCGAAGCCTTCCGGTATGTTTTCCATGTCGAATCAACTGACCTTGCCAGCGATTTCCATCTTGCACACGGCTGCGAAGGATCCATCATGGTGAGTTGCCAGACTTAAGTCGAGCTGATAGCCAGGTCACCAAAGTCGCAGAACCCTCCAACTACGGTGTCGTCGTCACCAAGCCCGGTACAACGATCATCGACCGCTTTGTGGAGAAACCAGTTGAATTCGTCGGTAACCGCATCAACGCTGGTATCTACATCTTCCATCCAAAGGTCTTGGACCGCATTGAGGTGAGCTACTCCGTCATGCAAAGCTGACATTCAGCTCCGCCCAACATCTATCGAGAAGGAGGTCTTCCCCGCTATCGTCGCCGATGGACAACTCCACTCGTATGACTTGCAGGGCTTCTGGATGGATGTCGGACAGCCCAAAGACTACATTGCTGGAACATGCTTGTACCTCTCCCATCTGACCGCCACGCACTCTTCCCTCCTCTCCGACCCAACCAAAAACAAGTGGGTTTATGGAGGAAACGTCCTGGTCGATCCCGTGAGTCTCGAGTTATCTGTAATGTACGACTGACTGAGCTGACAACAAACAGACTGCCGAGGTCGACCCAACTGCCGTTCTTGGTCCCAACGTCGTAATCGGTGCTGGTGTCAAGATTGGCGCCGGTGTTCGTCTTCAGCGTTGCATCATCCTCTCCAACGCGGTCGTACGAGACCATGCATGGGTCGCCAACTCTATTGTCGGATGGAACTCGAACGTCGGTCGATGGGTGAGTTTTAAAGCTGTCTCTTGACGTCCACGTCCAGTTTAGAGCTGTTTCTTGGCGTTCACTGACAATTACAGACTCGTGTGGAGAACATCACTGTATTGGGAGACGACGTGACGATCAAGGACGAACTATACGTCAACGGCGCATCTGTCCTTCCTCACAAGAGCGTGAGTCTAGTAGATGCGTATATCAGCTGACAAAGTAGATTTCTACCAGCATCACCGAGCCTCGTATCGTCATGTGTAAGTTGTCTCGCCTCGTCTCGTCTCTGTTATTCATTGATGGAGTGATGCTAATGGTAAGAATCGATAGAAATGAGCCACACCTCACCTCTTTGGAAAACTTATCAGTATCATACCTACCGGCCGCTATGCATGCCATACCATAGAGTGCCCCATGCTGCATGTTAATGTGCCACACCGGAATCTTAAGCTGGAAAATCAGAACGCCAAGTGATCAGATGTGACATATCATCATTTACAAGTATTCGTGTGCCTGGAAGGTAGGGCGTGACACGAAAGAGAAAGAGGTCAGGATTTTGATTTTGGTTTTTTTTTGGTGTTGTTTGGCTCGATTAATAGGAGTAGAGCATACTTTAAGGGCAACAAAAATCAGTAAAGGGTCCATTTATTATACTTGGTTTGTTGGTTTGTTCAAACATTCAACAACAACGTAGTCGTGTTCTTCTTCTTCTTCTTCTTCAACCCATACTCTACATCGTTCTGTTCGTTTGGAAGAATAGGTGGATTGGATACGACTTCAGTATTCAAATTGCACGCGTCCGACGCGTAGTTAGCTATATCATTCATCAAGTACAGTACAGACAGACGTTCTGTCCTGTCCCATTCTACGACTCGCTCGCTCGGACATCACGCTCATTGATACATACGTATTCTACTCGGCATCAGCAGCGACACGTTCTTTTTTAATTACTAGGACAAAAAATACACCATCAATATCTTCTTTTAAACGCGTTGATATCGACTGAGATTGGAAAACTCATACAAACTCGAGTACTCGTTATCTGCGGAGATCGCAGCATCGACATTAACGACTCAACCTTGACAAGTCGCAATTCCAATTCACCTGATATACATTATCGGAACAAACGCGCACATACGTCCCTTCCCCTCTCAAGTTGACTTGAAGAAACGACTTACAGTAAGATAGGTATAGTCGAGTGAGTTGTTGTTCGTCTTCAAGTCTGTTCATCTGTTCGTGGTGATTTCCCGATCCTTTGACTTGTGATCTGCGGAGAGTTGATAGGTCCTTTCATTATCTACGGCGACTTGACCGCGTTCATTCCCATCCCTCTTAACTACTTTTATCCTCTTCTTCTTCCCACCTCTGTCTCTCCATCTTCATCTTTGATTCTTGATTCTGGCGTCTCTTGATCGTACTCGTACTATCGCTCATCATCATCCTCGTCTTCGTCATCTTCATCTGTTTCTTCGTCTTCATCTTCTTCTGACCTTCATTCCGATATTAACATATCTTAGCCTCACAGAACAATGCCTCCATCACCCAATCAACAAGCTCTACCACCCACCATCACTCCCTTACCGCCTCTACCTGCATCACTCTATCCAACAATACCAACAACAACAACCGCAGGCCAACATGATCTTATCCCACGTCAATCTATCGTGACAGTTTCTGTTTATGCCTCTTCCGACTCCACCTCTACTTCCGCGGCTTCAACAAGCTCAAGTTCGGGCTCGTCATTCCCTGTTAAAGTCGCTGTGCCGGCGCTTATTGGCGGCATGGCACTTGCCCTGATTGGATTTGGATTGTTCTTGTGGTTGTCTAAGAGGAGAAGGATTCGTAGGAAAGTGAGTTTGGTTTCGGAAATAATCTA